GCCGTACAGCAGTGAGTTGCAGCTCGCTTCATCAGATACATAGAGTGGCTAGACCTGATGCAGCTCACGAAACTTGATGCCTTTCCATAAAATGGGTTACTTAGAAAAGATGCTACCAGCCTTTATTTATTTATTTATTTATTTGTTTATTTCTTTGCTTATTTGCTTATTTGCTTATTTGCTTATTTGCTTATTTATTTATTTATTTATTTATTTATTTGCCACTGTAAACCAACACAGCTCTCCCTCTATACTGACCTTCTTCCAAGGAAGGTGACAAACCCTAACAGGTACTCTAGACCCTGAGACTACCCTTGGACTAGGTTGGAATAAAGGGGAAAACACTACTTTAATAGGAACACAGTTAAGGACAATTTAGGCCTGTTTCTGGCTGCAGGTGAGATGAAGGGAATGTCATAGGGACACAGTAAGAAAAAAAAAGTTGCTAGAGCATGTTTGTATCATGCATAGAGGTATAAAGTGGAGCAACGTGCTTAGATTGGCACAAGGCAGCCCAGCAAGTTGGAGCCTGTCCCAGCTTTCTAGCCAGACACTACTTCTCTTTCTCTTTTTCCTCCCACCTGTTATTTAAGTATTTAAACCACAAGCATTAGTATGAATACAATAGCTGAGTTACACAATATACAAAGCCATGGCTTGTTGAATAAGCCCCTATACCACTCGTATGACCCACAGTGAGCCTTAAAACAATGGTTTACAAATCACAATGGCTAGATTGACACAAAACGTGAAGACAAAGCTCAGCATAACGAGTGAATAGGATATGCAAACCCAGCCAACGAATACCATGTTTTAAAAATAAGTGAAACAGACAAGATATTTAATGTGGAGACCTCTTATTTGTGCATTTGTTCCCCTCCTGTTTGAGGGAAACAGCATCCACACATTGGTAAAAACTCCAAAGTAACACTTTAATTAACATGCACACAGTATATTTGAGGAGGGATTCAGTGCTATTTTGATAACAGCTTCCTCAGCATTGTACCTCAAGGTGTTTTGGAACAATAACTCCTTTGGCCACATTGACTGGGAATTCTGGGAGTTGTACAA